TGGAACAGCTGGTAGTTTCGAACTGCTGACCATGAGATTAGCAGCCCACTTCATAACCACTACGCTACCAGAGCTCCTTTAGAATGACCACATGGCCCAGCAATTCCACTTCTACATATGTACCCCAAAGAATTCAAAGCAAGGATCCAAACCGAAACTTGTATGGCAATGTTCACTACAGCAGTGTTCAGAACAGACCAAACGTGAACGCTACCCAAGTGTCCATTAACATGTGGATGCATAAATGTGTATTATCTATCTGTTGTTGTTGTTACCAAGTGCTATCAAGTCAGTTCAGACTCATGGCGACCCTGTTGAGGATTTCCGAGGAGTGGCTGGGGGGTTTGAACTGCTGACCTTGCCATAAAAAGAAATGAAGTCCTGATGATAACTCCTACAAATGATAAGCTTTAAAAACACTATGGTAAGTGGACTAGTCAGCTACCAAAGGACAAACACTGTATGGCCCCATTAGATATGACACCTAAATAGGCAAATACACAGAAAGTAGGCTAGTTGGTACCATGGGCTGGGGGTGGAGGTGGGAGGAGACGGAGGGAGACCTTGAGAGTGATTGCAGTTTCTGTTTGGGAAGATAAAAATATTTTCCAGACAAAAGTGCTGATGGTTCTCATCTGTAAACTGGAACCAGTCGTTTATTCACATGTTCCTGGAAGCCGGAATGGCTACTACAGAGGAAGGGTGACAATGATGGTGGGAGAACGCACAGGCCATAGCAAAGAATGAACCACATCGGACAATGAGGCTCCAGGCTGAATCCCCCCCAGGCTTGGGTCTCACTGCCCCATCACCCTCAGGCTAGTTTGCTTGGAAAGAAGTAAAGACTTGATCCTGCTCCAAACTGGTCATGACAGTGAAATACCCTTTCTCTGGAGCCACCTGGCCATGTACATGTTTGCTACAGAAGGTCCTGACATTAAGACAACAGGGTATTCAGACTAGGAGGTGGTCTTCGGCCTAGTTCCCCACTGGTAAGGCTTTGCGTGAGTATGAAGTGGAAGCTTAAAATATAACTGAGTTCTAACTACCCAGCTAGCACCCAAAGTAGTATCAGAAAGTACTCATGTTTTAATGTTGAGTGCTTATTTATCAGTATCTACCCTCAGAACTCAGAAGAGTTGTGGGATGACATCAAGAACATCATACATGAAGAAAGCAAAAAGTCGTTGAGAAAACAAGAAAGAAGAAAAAGGTCAAAATGAATGTCAGAAGAGACTCTGAAACTTGTTCTCTGGGGTAGAGATGCTAAAGCAAATGGAAGAAATGAGGAGGTCCAAAAGCTGAACAGAAAATTTCAAAGAGCAGCTGGAGAAGATAAAGCCAAATATTACAACAAAATGTGCGAAGATCTGGAATTAGAAAACCATAAAGGAAGAA